GGGAAAAACACTGACCCCATAGTTCTCCTTTAAAGCCCGAGAGATTAACCAACAGTTCTTGCAGTAATAATAATGGGGGGAAAAGTTTATTTTGTATACAACACAACAGAGCTGGAATAAAAAGTAAGAGGCATCCCCTCTAGCCGCATTCCTAGTTATCTCTTTTATACCAAATCCTGGCTTGTGTTTCTGCTCTAGTTTTGCTTCTTTTTTGAAGGACAGGGCATGTACAATCACCTTCACGACATAAACGATTCAACCAGCCTGATTGTTTCCATAATAACATAACCTTATATACTAATTATCATCCCTCTGACAGAGCCGGCGCTACCCTACAAGCAAGTCAAGCAGCTGCTTGAGGGCGCCTGGGGGGAGTTGGGCGGAAAGATGCAGACTGGGAGGGGTTCTTCTTTAAGACGGCCACTGCGGCGATCACACCTCTCTGCGCTCCCTCTCTCTTCTCCCAGCCGCTGCAGCTTCACGAAGCGGGCACTCAGAGAGGCGGCTCTGATCACACCTGTCAGCGCTCCATCTCTCTCCTCCCAGCGGCTGCAGCTTCACAAAGCGGGAACTCAGAGAGTCAGTTCTCTGATCACACCTGTCAGCGCTCCTTCTCTCTCCTCCCGGCCGCTCTGAAGCTGCAGCGGCCGGGAGGGGAGAGAGGGAGAGCAGAGAGGTGTGATCAGAGCAGTCTTAAAGAGGCCCCCCTCCCAGTCCACATCTTTTGGACGTTATTAATCTGAGTTGCCCCACTCAGGGGACGTGCCCATCGCTTGCGGCCATATTGAGTGGGGCACTCAGATTAATTACGTGCTGGATTAGTCTGACCCAGGGGCAGACTGGGCAGGGTGGCAATTGCCCCCCCCCCGGGGCCTCTCTGATACCTTTGCAAACGCACCCCGCTGCCGCAAGCAGTTCATCTCTCCCTACTCAGCTGCTGCAGCAGTGCGGCCGAGAGGGGAGAGATTAAGTGGTGAGCGGGGAGTGTTTGCAAAAGGTATCAGAGTGGTACGGGGGGGGCAAATGCCACCCTGCCCCTCGGCCCAGTCCGCCCCTGGGTCAGACTAATCCAGCACGTTATTAATCTGAGTGCCCCACTCAATATGGCCGTAAGCGACGGGCATACTGAGTGGGGTAACTCAGATTAATAACGTCCGAAAGATGTGGACTGGGAGCGGGGCCTCTTTAAGGCCCCGTTCACATTGATTGATTTATCGCGCGGTCATTCCCGCGATATCGCGGCAAATTAACCCCGCGATATCGCTTTCAAATGCTTCTCAATGGGGCAAAGGGTCCTGCTGTCGCGGGTCGTGTGTCGCTACAGCAGGACCCTTTTTGGAGCGGATTTTGCCGCGATTCAAATGCTTTCAATGAAAGCATTTGCGCGATATCGCGCGGCAAATCTCGCGATATCGCGCAAAATGCAAATCGCGCTACAAACACGCGATTTGCATATCGTGGAGTGTGAATGGGGCCTAAGACTGCTCTGACTTTCAGACTGCAGCGGCGGCGGGGAGAAGAGAACAAAAAGCTCGACTGCCATCGTCTGTGCCCGCTTCAATCAGGCTCCTCGGCGGCCATGGCAGTTTGGGAGAGGAAGACTGCCAAACTGCAGTTGGCCGGCTTCTGCTGCGTGGGAGAGAGAGCACCTGGAGCCGGCTGGACGTGTAGGAAACCTCGCTGCACCCCCCACCATCACTCCCCATCGCTGCTCCCCCCATTACCAGGAGAAGAAGAGGTCAAAGCAACTGTAAGTCCATGTACTTTCTTTGTGACCTCTGCGTCACACCCTTGACTACAAGTGCGGTGCACAAGCAACCGTCTTAGGGCGTGATGGCGTGCAGGCACGCGGGTGGGCGATCGCAAAAATGCACCTTCGCCTGTGTAGGCAAAAATCCTTGCCCTCTAAGGTGTCCAACGTAAAGTAGAACTGAAGCCAAAACTGGTTTTTCTGTAGATTTGGATGGAGTGAGGGAAATTTTCAGCTTTTTTTTGCCATCTGTGTCCCACTGGACGAATTTTCCTTTCGCTTCCTGTCCAATTGACACAACAGGAGGTGAGAGGAATTTCCTCCGAAGATAGGAAATGCCTGGTGGTCAGCAGGGTCACCAGAACTAATGTACGCATTTGAAGATTTCCCATCTATTCCTGTTCTCATGACAACCCAAAATTTAGGATTACCTTTTACTTTCAGGGATATCATTTATCGCACAAATAGACAATGTTGTTTCAGGGGAAGGATGCTGGCAGAGTACGGTCACGGGGGAGGGAGGGGGATTCTCTGATTTGTCGTTAGCACACTGACGTGACTGGCGTCTCGCTTAGCTCCTGGCAACCAGTGACATCACTGAGCTGGCTAAAAGCCGCACAGAGCATCACAGGTTGCTAAGAGCTCTGAGCAACCTGGGACGTTGTGGCCACCCCCCACTACCACCCAGTCACCCACCAATGAGATGCCACTTGAAGCAATCACCTCAGGTTTCCTCATTATAAGGACATCCCTCTAGACTGGGACTCAGACAGCAATAAAAACCTTACATGTGTTCTAATCCTTCTCCACTCTATCCAAAATGCACTGTAACCGCTTCAAGACCACAATACGTATATAAACATTGTGGTCCTAAAATGCTTAAAACCACTTCCAAGGTCTGATCTCCCCTCCGGTTACTGAATACGCAAGTGACTAGGGTTTAACCACTTCCGGTTTCAGGCTGTCATTTCTCGGGCAGCTGTGGCCAGAGAAAAAGCTGGTGAAGCGCGATCTGTACTTAATCAGCTTCTGTGGGTTTGATAGGTGACATTAAAGGTCCAATAGAACGCTGATGTCTCCCTAAAGAGGACCTGCCACTTTCTCTTGCTATCACATAGGGGGCTTGATAGCCTCCTATGTGATAACAATAAAGTGTAAAAATGTTTAAAACAATTATATTATATTGTATTTGTGTATACTAAATTAATTTTAGTGTATTTTAGTGTATTTTTATTCTACAGCATCTCTGTTTTCAGAAAACATATAATTGTTTGGGGGTTCTAAGCAACTTTCTAGCCACTGCAAAGTGGTTAATTTTAGTGTATTTTAGTGGCCACATTTTCATCCACATTTCAAGTGGAGGGCTGCATTCCAATTCAACATATATATTTTTTTACAATTTCCAATTGGCTATGGATTACAGGAAAGGCAAGATAGGGGGAGCCCATCCTCAACTCCCAATCATAAACAATGCCTGGGACCTGTTGGTGACAGCTTGGTCACTGTGCTGGAAGTGAGTAGTGAGTGAGCTTCCGGCACTGAACAGTAGACACATATACTGTATATGCGGCAGTTGTGTGCTAAAGCCCACCTTTGTGTCACCGCCATATGTATGAGATTGTCAGGAAGGTGTTATGAAAGCTGGCCTATGATTGTGAATGTGCTCCGTGTCCTCATAATGACATTCTGTCACGTATTTTTAAAATTGTTTTGGTTGTCATTGGGAAAGTAAAGCAACTCCATAATTATCGATTAGTTCATGAGAAAACTTGATTACCAAGGAAATTTCCTGCAGAGGGAGGTCTGGACAGCACTGTCAGGCTAGATCAGGGGTGGGCAACTCCAGTCCTCCAGCTGTGCTTTAACTACAAATCCCAACATGCCTTTGCCTCTGGGAGTCATGCCTGTAACTGGCAGTTTTGCAATTCCTCATGGGACTTGTAGTTGGCTGAAGGGCCAGAGTTGCCCACCCCTGGTCTATACCAACCCCTATAGTGTTTTATACATTCATGCTGTGTATTTAATTCCTGTGTATGAGGGGTCCAGCGAACCTGAAATGTCCTGGGCCCCCCAAGGTCTAAATCCAGCCCTGGCCAGATTGTTGCGTTTTCAGCCCACTGACAAAAAGTACCAGTCCTCCCCTGCTTCCATAGATGAGGGAACCCCATTATCAGAACATCTTAAGGGCTCGTTAACACCAACCCGCACACAAAAAGGGCTGAGTTTAAACTTATAAGCAAGTGTCCGTGTGAATTCTCTTATAGCATATCATACTGTTTACTTTTTTTACTTTATTGAGCGTGTACAAAGTGTACACTCCATTCTTGTCTCCGCTCATCAGCGAGGTGTGCTGCGTTGGGGTGGCCTTACGTGCATCATGTCTGCAATTTTCCGCACTGCACATCACAGCCACAGTGTGCTTTGAATGTGGCACATAGAAAGCAATGGTTTCCTATGTGCCGTAGTGGTGACCTGTGTTTTTCTTGCCAAGAAAAAGGCAGGTCACCTTATTGGCCTTGTGAACACAGGCAAAAAAACTCTAATTTAGAGGCCATTTTCATTTATTTAATGATTTGAGCAAAGCCCTATTTTAGCCAATGAGGGGAATACATCAAAACCGGAGCAGACAGCATCTGGAGCAGTTGCCTATGGCAACCAATCAGCTTTTTTTTAATCTTCAAAGCTTAACTAAACAAACTGAAAAGAGAAGCTGATTGGTTGTCATGGGCAACTATTCCAGTTTTGATGAATTCCCCCATTGTGGCATTTAGATCTGTATTTTAGACCAGCGTTCAGGAGCATTAACAAAACACTCCAAACCTGCAGGTGGAGAAGAGCTTACTGGCATAATTTAGGCACATACCTACGTAAACTCGTGCATATGCGTGTCAATGCATTCTAGAGGCTAAAGTAAATGTAAATTCTAGCCAATAGCATGAGTTGATGCGCACATGTGCATAAATATGAGTAATTACTCTTCAAAACCTACATTTGTTTTACCTTGGATTTTTTTGCCAGAAAGATTTATTATAGATGGGAATATTTCCATGAGCCTTACTGAGACATTTTTTTATTGATAAGACAGTTTGTCTGATCACCATTTGTATAAACAAGAAAAGAGCGGAACATAAAGTGCCCAACTAAGTGCCACCCCATTCCCCCTTCTTCCTGCACGTGCACTGAAAACAATCGCCCCCTTCCTATAGGCAGCAGCACACAACAGCACCAACGCTGCCATATTCAATGCTTCTCGCGAGATCCGTGGTGACGTCACATCTCTCGGTCTCCATGGCGACGCAACAGCTTTACGGAGGTTGCCGCAGGCTTAGCTAGTAGGAGAGAGGCGGCTGTTCCCGGGAGGAGGTTGGATTTGGGGGGGTCACACCCGGGAGACCCCGGAACAGTCCGTGCACACATATCACCGGCTGCTGCGGGAGACCCGAGGTAAGAGCACCATCAGGGGGCGGGCCTTATTGACAGCTTGGGCTGTTGTCATGGCAGCTGTCATGAATGTCTGCTAAGCCCGCACAGTACCTGCTGTCTGTCTTCACAGGGGATAATGTGACTGAGGGGTAAGTGTGCCATGTCTGTGTTATATGTGTGATCATTACTGAGCAGGAGGGAGAACGCTTCCATATGCCATTTACAGATACATGGTACAGATAAATGAACAACCCACACATGGATAGAGAGAAGTCCTGTAATTGGGAAAGAACAGTTCCTTTCAATTTACATAAACAGAATAAATAATATTGTGTATGCTGATTACTATTACTGTATTATCATAATTTACACACATATAACA